CAAAGAATCATATGTGAATTAGGAGAATCTATGGAACAAGATTGGAATCTATGTATTCTTGATGACTGCATCTGCATCGACAATAGGAACTAAAAATATTTTATGTCAAGTAAAGTAAATTATGATATACTGGCAACGTTCGTAACTATAAACGCAATAAAAATAGTCTAATAATAAAATTGAATTAAGTGATATAGTTAAATCTCAGAAAAATATTTAAAATCGATTTTTTTCATAATAAAATCTCGTACGAAACAATTTTACACTGTTTATTTATCTTTTTACTTTTTAAAGTCATGGCCTTTCCGATCGATATGAAAATTACATGAAAATTAAGAAAAGAGAAGATTTTTCTACTTTATTTTGTTACGTATAAATAAATACATAGCATAAAATAAAGCAAGTCATGTATCTTCAACATATCGCATTATATTTGATAATTAACAGATTTTTCTCATTAAATCTAACATTGGAAATAAAACGTGATGGCGTACCCTTCTTTCGTACTTGGATAGCCGTGACGTCGATGTTGTAGTGCTTCCTGGTGACGTTGTTACAGTCGATCCCGGCGGGGTCTGCGGTTTCCTCCCACACCCCGAGAGTCGTCGGGATCTCGGCCTTCGGCGTGTCCTCGCCGCCATATCCCACGCGGAGGTTTTGGTGTCCGACGTCGAAGATGATAGCACCTACCTCGTCTGGCGTAACAATCACGGACGACCACGCGTAATTAATGTTATATATAAACGTGTCCTTTTTCTAGTCGAAATAATTATAGAGCGCGGACCCGCGTACTTACCACCGCCGTAGACACCACCGCTCATAGTACCTGAAGGGAGAGGAAGTCTGGCGCATGCCCGGATGGACTGTTCCACCCTTGCAGTGTGTATTTTAACATGCACACTCACACACACACAAATATACGTATGTACACATAGACGTACCCAGAGATCTGTACGAATTGAGAGGATTGCGTGGCTGAATATCCTCTCAAGACTAATCGATCGTTGGTTACACCGTCGAAAAGGATGATCTTTTTAGACACAAATACACAATAATTTAATTTAATTTAATCTTTTTAAGTAATCAATGAATAAGAATTTGTTTATACAATATATTAAATTGCCTACAATTGCATATAGTTAAAATTACTTCAAAGAAAAGAATATCGGAAAAGAATTATAGAAATAGATAATAATTGCTTTTGATCACATTTCACTGTTTACAAATAAAGTAACAAATTTTGTTTTGTTTCGCTAAATAAAAAATGGATCATCAGAGAGATGGTAAAATAATTTCGAGATAAACTTCATAAATAACTTTTGTTCATACTTTTTCATACTTTTTTCATACTTGTTTGCTTGCTCTAGATTCAGTTTAATATCACGTGAAATTAATATACTCATTTCCATTTATATGCACTGGTATGCAGATTCAAAATAAATATATTATAATTTTCTTTATATCCTTTAAAGACAAGTTCTCTATAATAAAAAAAAAAAAATAAAAATAAAAAAATTAAATATTTTAATTATTAAAATACGTCGTCTCTGCAATAACAAAAATAAATACATATAATAAACCGTAAACATAAATCAACATCGCAAAGAAATAACTTGCGAAGAAAAAACCATTTTTAATATCGCAAAGCTATATTGTCCTACTCTTTTACGAACGACTGACTTCCCATAAAATATGTATGATTAAGATAGACTTTATTAAATGGGCGAACGGGGAAACAGACGGATAAAGGACGGATAAAAAACACACAGGCACAAGACGAGCACGTTTCCAATATGGAATTAGTGTTGTATATTTTACAAAGTAAATAGAATATAAACAATCTAAAGTCGTCTAAAACACAATCGTACGAATTTCGTGGTAAATCATTTCGTGTTTCGTAAAGATAGACGATATATCATCAACAGGGCGACTCCTTTCGCTTTCCTCCACCTCGTGCGAATGACTCGAGAGTCGAAATAACAGGGAGAGGATACGGGGACTTAAACCGGCTGATCGAAAAATTATCGTCACCCGACCGAGAGTGAACGGTAAACCCAGCCAACGGATCGGCGAAACTGATTCGATGGCGACACGTAGTATCACGGAGGCTGCGATGACACTCGCGAAACAGTACCTTTTTTTTCCATGTATCTTAATAATTTCTCACATCATTATCATCATCATTATCATCATTATCATCATCGTCTTCGGGGGTCCGTCGATCGTTAATCGACGCAGGCATCGCGCTTTCTCTTCGGTATCCTCCTCTTCGTTTCTTCTTTTTTTCCTGTCGGGAAGGGGAAGGGCTGGGTTTTCGGATGGCAATGATGTGGCAGTTTGTAATGAGCGAGGTGTACATCGGGTACAGTAGTAATAGACAGCTTACAGACATTACGTTCGGCTGTTAAACGTTTAATACTACGTGGTAACTCGTCTACTAGGACCAGGTTTACGCTCGACATTCGTCACGTTCGTCACGCTTCTTCTTCTTCTTCTTCTTCTTCTTCGCGGACGACAATCCCTCCTTCGTTCACGTCGTTCTCCGCGATCGTCGCTGACCACGGATGTCGAGCGTAAACTTGAACTACGATGCTTCGTTCGGTCTCTCGCGGATAAGTTAAAACGACACTGACGACAACGACGAATGATCGCGGTACTTTCTCGACTTACTTAAACGATACTTCACGGAAGATCGATGGCGCGTTTCGATTAGCGTTATGAATGAATGCTCGATCGAATCGTGTCCGAATGTGATTCTGGAAGACAAGGGAAACGCTCGGAAGTCGCGTATTGCTCGCTTCGATATGCATGTTTAAGTGTCCCCTGTTGAGGAACAATTGTCATAGGACAATTCGCGAGGTGACACACTCGATCGTAGCTTCTCTTCGCGGTCGTTGGTCGCTTCGCGAGTAGAGCGAGATGGCAGTTACCGTTAGAATTTTACAGTTTAATTACAGTCGTCGTACTTTCGCTATTGTAATAATTAGAAGATCGTATGCGTGTTCGCGTGCTTTGGCAAATCGGGGGCAAAGATACCCGCGTGTCGGGAGATCGTCGCGTGGAGAGAAGAAATTCGAGGTGGATCGCGCGTGTAGCGCCGCCATTTAAACTAACTATAGGACTATTACACACGGAACGTGAGATAAAATGTGGCAGTTTTTGTACGAATCGACGGAACGCCTCGTTCGCGTTCTATTCTTTCTTTCTTTCTTTCTTTCTTTCTTCCTTCCGCCACGGTATGGAACAAACAACAATGTAGGCAGCTCGACCCGCTTCGCTCGAGTGCGAGACGCGATGCGTAAAACTTTGCGCGGTCCCACATTCACAGGCGGAACCAGTAAACGGCAGTTTATAGACTCTCTCTGTCCCTCTGTTAAACTTAACTTCGCTCGCGATCGTCCGCCTGATCGTAACCCTTAAAAATTATTTATAATATAATTATAAGCCGAGAAGTAATCTTGACGCGTTGGATCGATCTCGCCGCCGGTAAACGTTGGCTTTGTTTAAGGAGCACGTCGTCGAGGACACGCTCCCATTGACGTGGGCCGGGAGCAGGACGAAGGAGCAACGTGGAATTATCACTGGAGTGGCTGGCGATCGGCGACGCGAGGCACCAATTCGCGTTAACAAAACGACGGACCGCGGTTTACATAAATTTTCGCGCGATTTCTCCTTACTCTATATACTCCTTTCATTTCTCATCTTTCTTTTCTTT